CCCTTTTAAAGTCATTTATTCCTCTATACAGGTCTCTAATATTCTTGTTCTTACTGTTCATTGCAAGCTCATCAATTTTGTGTTTCAGATATTCCCTCTTTTTGTTCCTGAAATGCCTGCTGGTTTCACGTCTTATATTGTTCCAAATTATTGGTGTTAACATCATTAATTTTTATATGTTTTAAAGATAACTACTTTCAAGTATACCTTGTTTCAACGCCTGAGTTCTTCACCAATTTCTCAATTAGTTTTCCCTCGTCATCATTTCCAACTGCGCCAAAAAACACTGAATAAAACGGGTAACTGATTAACCATTGAAATATTCTAAGTGTATTCTGTGCTGCGCCTCCAGGGTGGTATTCAACAGTGAAACTGAAAAATATGAGAAAATTGCATAAAACTATATGAGTGTGAGGTTTTCATGGCAGTGACTGTTCAGATTATGGTCCTTCTGGATTGTGACACTGAAGAGTCTTACAGGCAGATACTGACATTTCGGAGAAACAGGGCGACGTAAATAGGGTAAGAAACTGGCATGTTATTAAAACTATATTGGCAGATTGCAAAGAAGGTTGTAACTGAGACCCACAGAAGGGGCTACAGAAATGTAACCCTATCAGGGACAATGAGAATGGTAGGTACAAAAACATCCCTTTTCAGAAACATGATTTCTCACCACAGGAGGAAATTTGTAATTGTGAGAGAAGACAACACTTCTCAAGCCTCTCATAGGGCTCTAAAAATGGCTGTGCTTTCCCAATTCCCACTGTTCCATGCCTCCCATGAGGATGGGAGATGACCATCAAGAATTGGTTGGGAAAGAGTACTCTTCTTGGGCCCCTGCATATGGGAAGTAAGAAATCAGCCCTTATTTTCACAAGCCTTGGCAAAAGAATATTGTCCCTAGAGAAATTAAGCATCTTGTGCACAGACAGAACCTTTTTCTTCTTTACCTTCAGGGAGTGGATGCGTGGCCCCTACAATCTGCTCTGAGAGAACCTGTCCTCCTTGTTCATGTTGAAAAGGGGAGCTCGATCTCTAACACCTTCGATATAAGCTGATGTCCTGGTGCCAGAATTTCTTGGTCAGGATGTTGGTTTTGGATAAGAAAAATGCTGATTTCTCATTTCCTACTTCTTCTTATCCATAGAGGCCCTGAAAGGGGCTGTCCTTTCCCAATCCCCATGTTCCATTTTCCTTTCTACCATTCTCATTGCCCTAGATCAAGCTCCACATCCTTCCCCTCTTGCCTGTGTCTCTATGACCACCTGCCTATATAAGCTAGCCAGTTTCTAATCCTGCAAACTGAAAGCCAGAAGGTGAAAGGAAACATAGGCCTCAAAAACACCAGTATCTGCCTACAAGCAATACAACATGGTCTCACAAATCAGAAGACCAGAAGCTGCATAGTCTTTATCGTCTTTACTGTTGTGTGCACATAATTGTGCTGGTTCACCAGGCCTAGCATTACACAATTTACATAATAAATCCCATTACCAAAGTTTAAATCTGGCCACCATAGAACGTTTCAAAGAAACAAAATTCCACCATCTCCATGGCTGAGGAGTTGGGCGAGTAAGCACACCAGAATAAGCTTCCTCTTCCACCCTGAAGAAGGAGGCAGTGCGATCTTCCAAATCGTCGGTAATACAGCATCCTGTTCCAGATGATAATATTTATAGTCATCGTCTAAGAACCTCAAATCTTACACATACCCTGCTGTTCCTACCTGTTACGTATATCTCTGAAGATCTTCAGATCTCCATCTGAAACTTCCTTCTGGCCGTTTGGGACTAGACCATATTTGTCTAGAATATTAGAGTCCGAGATTGTAGTACACATGTCTAGCAAGGGATTACCAAAGGCAGCTATAATAGGGGGTTTGTACTTTTCTAAAATACACTCCATTCTGTTTTCCATGCGATATTAGTGGTAGAAGATTAACACAGACCCTTCTTGAAGGTTATGTCAAATAAACTTGATTCAATTATGGGCAACCTTGTCAAGTAATGATGTTTATTGTGATAAGGCATAACACCATTCAAATCGTATAAATCGTATGCAAGTCTAGAGCTAACAGTCAAAAAAATATAATGATTCACGATGTCCTTGCGGTCGGTACATACACCTTAATCAGCACAAGCTTTACCACTACCTACATGGGGCAGAACTGTTCATAATTGCCACTGTGAGGACTTATATGCGATCTATATAGATATTTTCTGAACATGAATAAACTACATAGGTTCTCATGCCGCTTTCCAAATGAATAAAGAGAAAAGAATCATACAGTTTACCACTGTAAAATGCAAACTGAACATATTTATTTGTCACTTTTAATATTCGATAAATTCGATAGTTTCCATTCGACTTTTCCCATCGCTACTGCCAACTATTTAATTTACCTTATATATGAAGTAGATGTTATAGATGTTATAGATTTAATGAATGGCCGTGAAGGCTTTGAAGTGATGCGTTAATGTGGCATTATGTTATTTTCTAGTTATATTGAGGATTATTATGACTTTATGGAAAATAGTACAAAGACATATTTATGATTTATTGTCCCATAAGTATTCCGTAATAATTATCTTAATATCTCTCAGTACGATATTGGTGTCAGTTATTCATTTTGGAGAGGTTAGTGCTGGCTAAATAGTTTTAATCATTTATTTGGTGACTATCAGGGGATATATGTTGCGATTAATTTTCACGAACACTATTTTCTGGACGAATTCGCGAAAATCTGTTATGTAATAAATTGTCAATGTGAGAAATCCGAATGTCAAATTCGCCAGGTAAAGCAGTTGCTCCACAATTTACTGTACCATATTTAGGTTCACAATTATAAATTCAATAATTTTAAATGTAAGCTTTTCAAATATTTATTCCGATTAACCGATGGACTTTCTGGAATTTAATTTAAATTGTTTACCAAACGGGGTGGATGATAAGGGGTTTGATACTCCGCTACAACATGGGATGTGCTCCCATAAGTGTTACTTGATGGTTAAAGACTCAGAGTAATATGTTTTCTCTTTAACTGAAAGAATGTCACCATTTTATAACCATTTGCTTGAACTTGAACTACATTGGCACACACCTCCATTTTCAAGAAATTATTTCAGCTTTTGTGTGAAGTGCAGCAAATATATAATTTGTGAGATTCAGTGTCATTTGCCTCTTTTGTATGTAATAGATACTAATAATTGCAAGGTATAAATCAGTCATTTGCTAGAGAAGTGCACATATGAATAGACATATGAACACAAAGCATTTATATGGTACCTTGATTCCCTCCAAATAGAGCATCTAGAGACCCACTGAGCAGTACTGAGGTAGTTTTACAGCCAGTTGTGTGCCATAAGGATAGTTATAGATGGATGTGGATCATTTATGGAACACTGATTGGCAAGGGAGAACTGAAGTAATCAAAGAAAATTTTGATCATTGCCAATTTGTGTGTAGAAAGTCTCACATGGACTGCCCCGGAATGAACCCAGTTTTTAACATTGAGAAACCACTATTTGAGCACAACACTGCAGTAATTTTTTCTTATTACATATGTAGAAAAGTAAAATTTTGCTGTAATGGATGTCAGTATTACTGTATCTAAATTTTATGCATAAATACCTTTTTATGAAAAATACGAAATTGAATATGGAGCAGGTCTATACAAATTATACTTTTGTTTGAAGCATTCCCAGTTTTTACTGTGCTCCCGGTTATCCAGATTAAACTATTTTATGGATTTTCCTTAGTCTCAACAGATGAATAGTGGGATAGTGCTTTCAGATATCAGACACCTTCCAAGTCATTAACCTGCACATGGGCCATAGTCATGTTCCCACTTCATTTGGTTCAGTGTAATCTCTACAGTTGAAACAGAATAATTAAATGTCCTAAGACCCAGGCATTACTTCAGTTTATTATTGATATTGATAACAAAAGTGTGTTTGTTCATATTGATAATTAGTGTCAGTATTTTTTTTCTCTAGGTTTGGATGACATGGAGTCAAGAGAAATATGAAACAGTCTTTAATTCATTCAGTGATAATATTGTGGGAAAGTCACTGCAGAGCAAACTGTGTCAGAATGTACCAATTGATGTAGTGTATACATGGGTAAATGGGTCAGACCCCATTCTACTACAGCAACTTCAGCAGTATCATCTACAGCTTCAAAAAGAATCGTCAATAAAATGTCCTTATGCAAATTGCGCACCTTCTCACATTCTCACATTCAGGTACGCTAGATCCAGTGTTACATTAGTATATCAGTTATACAGTGATATATTTTACACAGGGATTTTCAGTAGTGTATTAAATAACTTTAATCCCTTGTGATCTATTTTATTTGCATTCATAAATGGGTTATGTGAATAATCAATGTTGTGGAGAGATATACATCATGCAGGCAACCTTTTTAGGGATCTGAATGTATTTCCAGTAGCCTGCATGCTTGAGCGTAATATGTCACATAGAATTAAATATGAAGATGATGGAAAAAAACACTGAAAGTCATAATCACAGTATACACCTCCATGTTCAGTTCTGTAGAATGAATATTCTCAGAAAGGTGTAATGAATAAGGCAAATACCACGCATGGAGCTGAGCCTTTCTTGAGGATGATGGAAAAAAACACTGAAAGTCAAAATCACAGTATACACCTCCATGTTCAGTTCTGTAGAATGAATATTCTCAGAAAGGTGTAATGAATAAAGCAAATACCTACCCATGGAGCTGAGCCCTTCTTGAGGAACCGCCAATTCTGCAGCTACTCAAGAATTTCCCAGCATTTTATAGAACCTGAATGTTCATTACCATGTTCACAAGAGCCCTCCACTTGTCCCCATCGTGAGCCAGATCAATCCAGTCTATACCATCCCATTCTGTTTAAGATCCATTTTAATATTGTCCAAATATTCTCCTCAGCACCCTGTTCTCAAACACCCTCAGTCTATGTTCCTCCTTAATATCAGAAACCAAGTTTCACACCTATACATTTTCTTTAGCCTAGGTCGTTTATCCAGAGGATCCGTCCAGGTCCGAGGCATTGTGTACATTTTCATAACAAGCTTATTTTTTACGTTTAAGACTTGCTAGCCTCATAGCCAACCCCCAAGCTGGAGGACCACCCTGTTGGCTGTCTGCAACTGCTTATTATTTGCAGCTTCCCTCCTTACCTGGAGGGCATCTCCTCCATCCACAACCTGAGGATGTGCCATGCTGTGGTGACAAGGGACCCACCCAACATGGAATATAGCAAATACATTATTTAATAAATTGCCAGTTGAAATTAAGAAATTGGAAGGTATGCTGTAATTTGAGAAGGAGCTGGGTTCCTTGTTATTACAACAGAAATGTAACTCTATATTAGTATTACCATATATTACTATATCCTTTGCCATAATTTACCATTAACCTCTCTCTTTTAAGAGATCAGCTCTTAGATGAGGCAGTTGAAGATGCTCTTTTGCTCGCTGGCTTTCAAGGGAAAAATGCTTCACTGAGGCATAGAGTGACAGTTGAAAACAATAACTGGACTTTTATTGAATTTTACTCACCAGAACTAGCAGCTGAAGCTATGAAATTTATGTTAAAGTCCAATGTTACCATATGTCATGCTCACTGGACTTCAGGTAAGTCCATATATACAATGAAACCCCCATTTAATGTTTCATTTATTTATTTATTTATTTGTAATTACATTTCATAGATCCAGTTGTTACCCAGTAGGGCTGGATATAAACTTTGTCACATACAAAGTCTTACATAAAAGATCATATACAGTATTAAATATAACATATAAAATTTAATGTATAATATATTAAAATATATAGAAAATAAATAGAGCCTCATGCAAAGAGCAGAAGTTGTCAGTCCAATTTTCCCATTTAGAAAAATAAATACATGTTAAGTCCATTCTCAGCCTTAGCCTTAGCTGACTGGAATTGTCAAGTGTTAAGTTAATCAGTACAGCCACTATTAAATCCAACCAAATGGAGTAACTTACAATATGTTTACTAATACTGTTTATTTACCCTTTATCTTTGTAACTCTTGTATGCACTATAAATTCATTGATAGAGTAAAAAGAATTTCTCAGCAGATATCTTAGTAAAGCCTTCCTAAATTTATTTCTGTCTGTTCTCAAAATTGTGATACTGTTAGGTAATACATTAAATAGCTTGATACCTGAGTAATATACACCTCTCTGATAAGATGATAAATGAGAATCAGGTACATGAAGATGATCATTATTCCTACTACCAATCATGTATCATCATCATTGGTAATCTGTCAGATAACAGGTCCACAGTCTTTTCCAAAACAATTCCTCCACTTAATGCGATCTAGCTCTTTCTCCTTCAAATGACAGTATCCTCTTCTGTCCCCAAGGTCATCCAGCATCTTCTTACGTCTTCTTCCTCGTCTTCTTGTCACTTCTATCCGCCCATCTATCTTTCCTTCGATAGCTTCTTTTAGAAGGCAGTTTCTGCGTAAAACATGACCAATCCAATTAGCCTTCCGTTTTCTTATTTCATGTAGGATATTCCTCTGCTCACTGACTCTAATTAACACTTCTTCATTTCTCACATAATCGGTCCAACTGATCTTCTCCATTCTTCTCCAACACCACATTTCGAAACTTTCCAGATGTTTCTGATCTACTGCCCTAAGTGTCCATGTTTCAGCCCCATACAGAGCTATGCTCCAAATGTAGCATTTCACTAGTTTCTTCCTCAAATTTAAGTCCAATTTGCTGGTAAAAAGATTCTTCTTCTTGCTAAATGCAGCTTTTGCCATGGCAATCCTGGATTTAATTTCACAAGTACACCTTCCATCATCTGTTAACAAGCTACCCAAATATTTAAAACATTTCACATTCTCCAGTTGTTTTTGGTCTATCTTTATTGTGACTGGGGTTGGTTGTCTCGAAATTTTCATTACTTTTGTTTTCTCCACATTCATTTCCATGCCATAGCACCTTCCAATTTCAATTAGTCTATCAATCGTGCCCTGTAGCACAGTCTCTTCCTTAGCCATAACCACAAGGTCATCTGCATATTTCACAGTCTGAATAATTTGCCCTCCTAAATTGAAGTCTCCGAGCCGATCCAGAGCTTCCTTGGTAAGGCATTCGCTGTACAAGTTGAACAGAATTGGTGATAAACAGCATCCTTGTCAAACTCCTCTTCCAATCTGCACACTTCTTGTCTCCCCTCTGTCCAGTCGTACTCTTAACTATCTGAGTTTCCTTTAGGATCTGCATTAATTTGGTCCAGTTTACACGGTCAAATGCCTTCTGCCAGTCTATGAAGCAAACACACAGTTCTTCATCTATCTCCAAAGTTCGTTCTGCTATAATTCTCATCATCCCAATTGTCCTGATTCCTTTTCCTCTTCTAAATCCAAACTGATATTCTCCAAGTGTATCCTCTATTTTCCTTTCAATTCTTCTTTTAAGTATCTTTGCTGTATGTGCAATAAGGCTTATTGTATGATGGTCGCTGCATTTTGTAGCTTTTGTCTTTTTCTTTAAAACAATTTTTTGAAGAAAAAAAAAACCTCAATGTACGTTGTGCATTCAAATTCTAAGGTCTCCGGTTTTTTTCTCACACAATAATCATACAATCAATTTGAAACTTCTGTCACTTTTCAACGTAATCTCCCTGCAGCCATACACATTTTTCACAACGTCGATGCCTTGATTCCATGGCCGCTATGAACGCTTCTGTAGGAGTCTGTTTTGACCACTGGAAAATCGCGCTTTGTTTCAGGATTGAAAAACGGCATCCATGTCTCATCCATTGTCACAATTGATGAAAACAAAGTCCCATTCATGCCTTCATCATGTGTCAACATCGCCTGGCAAATTGCCATGCGCAGCCTTGTGGTTGTCCGCCAGCTTTGGTGGCACCCACCTGGAGGACACTTTCCGCATTCGCAGGTCTTCGTGCAGGATTGTGTGCACAGATCCCACGGAAATGCCAACTTTGGAGGCTGTGTTTTCCACACTCAATCGGCGATCCTCCAAAACAACTTTCTCAACTCGCTCGAACATGCTGTCAGTGCAAGGCCGAGATTTGTTTGGTTCGTTGTCACACGACGTTCGGCCTTCTTTGAACTGTCACACCCACGAACGTACATTTTCCACATTCATGACACCATCACCACATGTCTCACTCAACTGGCGATGAATTTCAATGCGTGTCGCGCCACACAATTGGAGAAAACGAATGTTTACTCGCTGTTCTTGTGACGAAAACGTCGCCATTTTAAGTATCAAAAACACTCCTCAGTCTCGCCGCCACCTCTAGAGTTCTGTGTGCTGTACAGTGCTGCCATCTCTGTCAAGCATTCACAAAGAGTGCACACGTATTTTAAACTAAACCGTATNATATTTAAACAGGTCACGGCAAGTGTGGGTTGGTCCCACTCCCATCATTATTCTTATTATTTTCTTTTGCGTAAGGAAACCCTTATGACAGTCAGGAGTATTACCCCAGTATATTATTCCATATTTCACTAAAGAGTGATAATATGCATTGTATACAGATTTTAAGTTATTTATGCTTAGTATATACAATAATTTTTGCATTAAAAATCGAACTGTGCTCAACTTGTAGAGTAACTGGTCTATATGTGCTTCAAGCCAGATGATTGTCAAGCTGCAAACCCAAAATAGTTGTCGATTCAGCTGTTTTCAACATTGTATTAAGAAGAAAAGTAATTAGGTGATAATCAGTAGCTACTGTTGGCATATATTTTATCATTTTAGTTTCGTCAGGATTTAATGCAAGAAGATTGGCCTGAAACCATTTACTCATTTGACTACAAACAGTATCCAGTTTTATTTTTAGATCATTGAAATCTTTGGATGTACAAAAGGACACTTGTGTCATCTGCCAACATGATGACTTCTGAAGTTGTACTTATTTCGAGGGGAAAATCATTAATGTAAATATTAAATAGCAGAGGTCCTAGTACCGAGCCCTGAGGCACTCCCGAACGGACTAGGTCCCAATCGAAGTAATATTTGTTATTGGTATACTTTAGTTCAACCCTTTGTTTCCTATATTGAAAGTATGATTTAAACCATTGCAAGAAGGAGTCCTGAACTCCATAATATTGGAGTCTCATTAACAGGAGTTCGTGATCAACACAGTCGAATGCCTTGGCTATATCGCAGAATATGCCAACTGCATATTCTTTTCTGTTCCAAGCAGTAAGTATTTTATTAGTTAATTTATAAATAGCCTTTTCAGTAGACAGTCCCTTTTGGAATCCAAACTACTGGGGGAGTAATATTTTGTGTGTTGTAATGTGATCATTGAGTCTTCTATAAATTACTATTTCAAATACTTTAACAAACCCAGTTATTATTGATATTTGTCTGTAATTATGTATAATAGTTTTGTCTCCTTTTTTATATATCGGATTAATCACTGCATATTTAGCAGCCTCCGTAGTCTAGAGGTAACGTTCCCACCTCATGACTCATAGTACATGGGTTCAAATACCCAGCGGAGGTCATCGAATTTTTAAGGGTGGAAAAATTCAGGGAACAAGTCCTCCGGGAGGGACTTTGAGCCGTGGGTCCCGTGTCGTAGCTTTACGGCACGTAAAAGAACCTCATACATCCAAAGGAGGTCACTGACCCAAAATTGCGGACGTTTCCCACCCAACAGCAGTCACTAATACCTCCGGTAGATGGGGGAAGCATTATAGATACTTCTCAGCCAGTAGAGCCGGTCACGCTGGCTGGACGGGACTGATGGTAAGCACCAATACTGGTAGGATATAGAGACTGGTAGAAATCATAGAGGGAAGCACAATGGACCACTACAGGTCTAAGTGCATGGGGAAACCCACCCTCTCTAATAACTAACTAACTAACTAATCACTGCATATTTGAGTCTTTCAGGATATATGCCCATTGTTATTGAGTTATTAATTATATATACTAAGGGTTTACTTATTTGTTGTCTACACAGTTTTATTAATTTGTTAGTTATACCATCATATCATGAAGAGTTTTAGGATTTGAGCTTACTAATCGTACTAATTATCTCATCTTCAGTGACTAAATTAAAGTTCATAGCAGGGAAATCATTTGGACAATAAGTATACAAATATTTCATTGCTGAATGTGAGTTAGTCTTCTTTATATTGAGATTTGCTGGTATTGATGAAAAATATTTATTGAAACTATGGACTGCTTCATCAATATTTATTTTTACAGTATTAAGTTTATATTGTCACGTGTTGGGTATGTCACGCGACAAATAACTTCACGTGGGTTCCGGATTTAGCGAATCTTTATTGGACACTCACTCTTACACACCTTACAATTATTATCACTTGCAGTGTCACTTGACTTCTGGCCCAATACTCAATGTGACGTCTCAACTATCCTTGACCATGGTTGGATCTCAACTGTCTCTGGTGGTGGCTATCCCAAGATTGTCTCATTCTCAATCTCCAATATTCTGTACGTGTCGTAAGCTCTGCTTATATAGGGGTTCTGCGGACCGGACACCGTTCCTCACAGTTCTGTTACCACTGTTCAGACAGTCCGTTGTTACGGGAATGCTTCTTATACAATACACCGGTAACGTGTTTTGTCTCATCCATTGTTACTCGGCGACAATTCGTTGCTATGATTTGTCGCTGCAGGAACTCCAGAATTTCCACTTATTTGTTGTCAAAGTGTCCGTTTCGATTGTAGCAGTTGTCATGGTGGTGGACGTCAGGTAACGCATCACAATATGATTTAGGTAAAGTATATTTTCTGTGTTTATTCATCCATCCCGTTTCCCTATTAATAATGTTCCATGTTGTTTCTATCCTATCCTCAGCTGAAACAATTAGTCAATTATGATATAATCTCTTCATTCCTCTTATTACTCTTCTTGGTATCCTACAATAGGTTTTATAATAAGATTTCAGTATATTATCATTATTTTTACTAAGAGTATACAGAAATTCTTTACATCTACAGAAGGTGTGTGTTCCCACTGTTATCCATCCATTGTCATTCATTCATTCATGATTTAAGGGGTTTCCCTCATGTGACATTCAAGTTCAGTGATCCTTAGTAAATATCCGTGGCATTAAATTTCTTCCATTTAAGGTTTCTCTTGTGGAGCAGTGGGTTTGAAAACTAAATTTAGTTCACTTCATTAGTTATTTAGTAAGCATGTAAATGAATAAGGAGTTGAATTGAATTTGGTTTTCAAATCCGCTGTACCCCAAAGAACCTTAAATGACATTTTTATTGTATGTTCTTTTTGTCTGTAAGTCAGGTTTCATATTAGAGAAGTTAACTTATATAGAAGTTTCTGCCAAACCTGGATGGGCAAATGTGGTCTGTGTAGAAATTCAATCTGCCAGTAGATATTATTAGTAATACATTATTGTAGTATAAAGCAAATGTGATCACAATATGAAATAAACAAAATTCAAGATTTTGACAGAGCACACAATGCACACAATTACTATTTGCTTTTACTGTAACTTGATCTGGGAAAGGTTAGTTGGACCATCCCTAGAATAGGTTTACAGCATACCTTAACACCCGAAGAAAACGTACCAGATTTTATATTATTTCTGAAGGAAATAATGTTTATTTTTTATTTTTGTTTGGTATATTTGTAAAGTATCTTTAGATAATACAAGTAATGAGTCACTGTTTAAGAATGTTTTAATTACAGATTTTTTCTCACAAAGCCTTCTAGTCACAGTCAGTCTTCCAGCTCATGAGTAAAATCCAGTTGCCATGCATTGTATTGGAAATGATCTGTTATTGTAAAATAGAGAAGTCTCTCAGTTCATTGCAATTCTCTGAGTTTTACTCCTACATTCTAGAGTCATTTATTTTTCAGATAGCACAGTCTCTAAAACAAGTGGAGATGCTGCTAATACCGTCATGATCAGTGGAATACCGAACACCTTGATTAAAGAAGCGGGGAATAGTGTGCACACAGAACTGGCAAGGCATTTGCAGTCAAAGATACAAAACATGTGGGTGTATGCTGAGAAAGGACTGGCAGTGGTTGAAGTGGAGTCATCAGAATCTGTCAGTAGAATCCTGCAGGTGCATCTCTATATTAAAATATTTCCTTTATACTTTGTCTATGCATGAAGATTAGTTCGGTGGTAATAAACATCTAACCTTCATTTGCATTGGGGAACCAGCTACTCAGATACTTTTTCACAATTTTCCTCACATCTTTCATTAATGTGCTGCATTATAATTTGCAGTATGCCAAAATTTTGTACCATTCTTTCTGCTTTGCCGTTTGTAATCATGCCTATATCTGATCATGCTGAACAACATTATGCAGTTGACACAGCATTAACACATGGATCTCTGTGCATGAGTCATATATTAGGTCTTATTTTACAGAGGCTTTCGAAGTATCCTATATTTTGAGATACTTTATTTTAAATGGTGTACTGTCTGTTTGACATCAAGCGGTGTAACAGGGATCTCATTTTGGGGCTGTTAATTCTTAAGTGGTGATGGTGAAACTGGTCATATTGTACCCATGTGGGTCGTGATACTTCAGTCAGTGAAGTCATTTGTTATGGGATAAGTGATCAGGTTTAGGTTCCATGCAGGGTCACATGATTTTGTCTGTGGTGCACCACATTCAGAACTCTTCACAGGTTCATTGAATCTCCTCTTCAGTAGACACCAGGAGCACTCCTCTGTAATGAGAAAATGACAGCCTGTAGCTAGTGCTGAAATGAAAAATGTATGAGCCTTACCTACACATTGCCTCTAAGCCTCCCTGACAGAATAGTTATGCTTAGGTACAAGTTTATGGTATGCTGAGGTTATAGAAATTGTTATTTAATGCATTGTGTTTGTAAAAATTACAGGCCTTTGCATTTCCTGTGTTCATGATGCACAGAGTGACTCTTTATATAAAGTGCATTAAGTGAACACATGTATATAGGGGAGACTGTATCCACATCTTTCATCTCCAAATCTTCAGTCAAATTTTGTACTGGGAGTTGACACTAACAGTTCTTGTATTAATTGAACTTTCACTTGTATTTATTAAATATTCTGGTAACCCCTACTTTACATGACTGTCAGTCAAACTTTATCAGTCTACTGAAAGTGGCTCATAATACAGAAAATTGGTACATACCATATGAGAATATGTAATTCATTAATATTTATTTAAAACATTTGACCTTTTCAGGTTGTGTACTTTATTATTGCAGTGGTGCATGCTTCAGGTCCAGGTGTCTGCAAATTGCATTTTCAGTCTACTTTCCTTATTTTGAAAAAATAAATGTAGGCTTATGAAATCTGGGAAATTCTTGAGTAGCTGCACAAGTGGCAGTTTCTCAAGAAAGGCTGAGCTCCATGGAGTTAGTTAGGCTTATGGGATCACCTTGCTGTCTTTGTTTCTGTATGGGTATCCCCCTAACAACTTATGAATGCCTAAACCAATCTTTATCAAACTTGGTACGTATATTATGGCACCTGAGCCTATCTTAATGACATGCTTCATAAATCCCTCCCACCAGTAATACCAACATTACAACCTTTAAAATTGCTAAGCAAACTTAAGGAGGGATCAGTGTGGCATGATGCCTGAAAACCAGAAGGGATGGCTGTTGCTAGGCAGTGGCTTTGTAAACACATCCTGCAGCAGCGAGTACACATGCAATAATAGAAGAACTATTGGACACAGTGTCTTTTGTATGGTTCATGTTGAGTCTGTGTAACAAGTGAAACAAAAGCAGGCAGTTCTTCTCAGAACTTCTTGTTCAATACTAAAAGAGTTATCCCAAAGTTAAAATATGGGTGCCAGCCCTGTAGTTTGAAGGGATTTAAAATCTACTATTCCTGGACAATAAATTGTCATCCCCTAGATTAAATTTGGCCAAAAACTCAGTAATACTGGGATATTTAAAATTTCAGGTTCCTGAACAATGAAAGATTAATATTTTGAAACGTATTTTCTGACTGTGCAGTGTGGTATCTGTGGGATAATTAGCTTTGAAACAATAATTGTGTCTGCACTGAATGAAAGACTATTGAGGTATGCAGAATAGCAAAGAATGCATTTGGGAAATGTGTATTCTCTTGGAGTACATGTTACCATTCTTGTATTTCTTTGTGCCTGAAGGTTGGTCAGAAGGTAAATTTATGAGACATAGTTTGAGGTGTTTTATTACTCTCCCTGATATGAAAAATGAATATATGTAGATCTTTCAGAGATTATATGCCTTACAAACTTACTTTTTGAGTGCCCCTTATAAATGTAGAACTTTGAATGAGTATAATATTGAGACTGAACATGTTTTCATTTTAATAACAAAATATATTCACCATGGGTTGTATAATAATAACAAATCAGTAACTGTACCCATAAAGTCACAGATTTCTTGTTAAGTTGAGAGAAATATTGGGTGATGTTCTTAATTTCATTTTCTAAGTCTTTTGTTTAAATTCTCTTTTCTTGTTTCAGTTGCTGAGTAATGTGACTATAGGTGGGAATATAGTGAATATAAGTAAAGCGTACCTTATCCTTGAAATACCTCTTGTATACAACAGTAAGGACTTTTCTCCATCACGTTTTGAGGACAAAGAGGTTAGTTCAAATGATTTGGCATGTGGACATCCATATAAATTGCCTCGTATTGATCTGCAGATAGTAAGACTTAGTATTGGCCTACTTCCAGGATGCCGAAGTTGTATCATAAAATGTGGCACTCACATTCAGGTTATATCTTTCTGCCACTGTTGTTATATTATTGTAGTTTATTTATGTCTAGCAGTGACTCAAACTGTGTGGGGGTCACATGATTGCATGTGAGTGAATAATGACTTAGAAAGGATTTAGGAGGAAAGTTATGGCCTAATTTAATGTACTGTTCCAGCATTTACTTTGAGGGATTACAAAAATCACAAAAAAAGCAATGCTCAAGATAGCTAGTCGCTTAGATTTGAATCACGTACCTCCAAAATACTCTGCAGAAGTGTTACTGCTTGCCAACATTGCTTTCAGGAAATGCTGTCAATTTGATATCAAGAGACTCCACCAGCTAGCAGTATTTTCTTTGTCGTTCTTCAATAATTTAAATAAAATAAAATGATACATATATATGTACAGATTTGGGTTTAAATACACAGAATTATGCAATGTACATGGTTCATACTGAAGTGTCGGTGTTAGTGGAGAAGGTTCCATGCAGCTTGTTGATTTTGTTATTGTTCTTCAGGAACTCTGGGACAAACTCTGATATCAATTGCTAAATGATCTTTCAAGAATCAATCTTGACAAAAGTCACTGCATCCCAATACATGGGATTTGTTAATATAGCTCTTGGGAAACTCCTGATTTTCTGCTCAGCATGGTGCTGGGACCAATGGAATGAAATGTCAGATATTGACAAATATCCCTTATCAGAATGTTCAGTGAAAGTACTCAACACATCTTCTGCTGCTGTTGAAATATCCACCAGATCAATAAAAGTGATTAATAAAATCAATAAATATAAATTATTCAGAATTTATCCAATTATTCAGGACCTTAACAAAGAATTCCAGAGCCTGTCTTCTGAACCAGACAAGTGCTGTAAACTTGGTAGAGGTTACATGTGCTCCTTTGTTATTTATGCTGCACAGAGTATGTAACTGGGCAGCAAATTCATCAATCCTGAAACAAGAAACTTCTGTAAATTTTGACTGCACTCTGTAGCTGGATTTCTGTTAATTCCCCAGAATTAACACAATTCCTGAAAACTGTATATAAAAGCATAATGCTTGCCATTCTGTCTTTATATTGTCCTTATGTAGGAGTCATAGTTGTTAGTGGTTAAGACAGGATCATCAGGTGACCATGAGGGGACCTACGCTTAGTTACGATTGTAATCTACGAGGAGTGTTCCGTATATAATGCCTCCTATTTTTTTAATGAGAACTACAACAGATACAGAAAGCATAATAACACAGTTAAATAGAGCAAGGTTTCATAGGCCCAAAGAGATGGAAGTGTGAAGGTGATAATTTGGGGCTATAAGGTGGATGTGGTAGGACAGTCCAGACAAACTTTGCAATGTGCGCAGTGGTCGCCAAACTGGTGTGGGGTCTAGCATTATCATGTTGCAAGCGAAAGGTTGTCTACTTCTCTGGCCTGACTTGGGAAATCCAGGCTTTCAGCTTAGTCAAAGTCGTCTTGTAGCGTTCAGAACTGACAGTCTCACCAGGCTCCAGGAAATCCAAAAAAATCACACCCCACCTATCCCAAAAGACCATGCACATCACTTTATCTGCCGATGGCTGTGTCTTGAACTTCTTTCTTGGAGAATCTGGTTGTTGCCACTCCATAGAATGTCTTTTGGATTCCGGCTCATAGTGGTGACATCACGTCTCATCTCCGGTGAAGATGCTGTCCAGAAACTTGTCACCTTCAGCCTCAAACTGGTGCAACAGGTCCTGACAGACTTCCATTCGATGAGTTCTGTGGTCCTGTGTAAGCATCCGCAGGACCCACCTGGAACAGACTTTGTGATAATTTAGCTTCCCCAACATCGTTTCCAATGCATTACAGCTGATATTAAGCCATGCACACAGTTCCCTGGTCGTTATTCACCGATCTGTATGGATGAGCTGATCGAGGCACTGTTCATTGTGAGGAGTGGCAGCTGAGCAGGAATACCCAGGGCGTGGCTTGTCATGCACTTCACTTTCACCCCTGTTGAAACGCACTACCCACAGCCTCACTGTCCTGACATCCACTGTATCGTCTCCTTATGCCTTTAGCAAGCATCGATGGATGTCAATGGGTACAATTTGTTCAGCAGTGAGAAATTCAATAACACATCTCTGTTTCATGCACACTTCTATGTCAGACACCATTTGGGTAGACTGCTCTGCTGTCGCTATCTGTCACATGACAACCAAACTAACACATTGGCGGGAAGGTTTAACCTTTACTACAACATCACCAACATCCAGCTCAAACGTTACATATTAACACAAAAAAATAGGAGCATTATATACGGAATGCCCCTCGTATATCTTTGCCAAAAACGAGTTAACACTGTTAATAACATGCAAATTGAGTGAACTCAGTTGGATATACAAGAGTGAATCAGTGGAGATATTACCTTTCCAAACTGTAGCTAGAGATGGGAACCGTTTATTTCCCAGTTTGAAATAATTCAGAACAATGTGTGGCTGCATATTAGTACAAGAGAGGCTTACAATATGTGCATGGAAAAAAATGTAGTGTATGGTGGGGATATCAGAGTAGCTATCAGTGAAATTTCTAAACTATCCTTCAGTGTTTGTTTTGTATTGAAGGACCATGTCACCCAACCACTGCCTGTTGTAGTTGGTCTAGTTATGAATGAAAGGAATGTGTCTTTGTTTAATGGTAAAGTAGACAACGGCCATAATAATGCTCTGTTGCCAGTTGAAGAAAGAAAATTTTGGGTATTTTTTATGAAATTTGCTTTTGAAGAAAACCTTTGACAGAAATTTTCTTTAGATAGCATTACTATTTAGAGCATGTGGTTAGTCTTATCAGATTTAGTGCTTTAGTATAAATATGTCTGTTTTTCCAGGATTTTTCAAGTCTTTGAACTTAATTATTTATGACAAAATTTGTTTTGAACAGTGTCCTGTTGAAATTTCAACTGGGTTTTTGCTAGTATTCATGTAATAAGATGAGATTATAAATTGTAATATTGTAAAATGTTTGTAAAAATCATCAGTAGGTAAAAAGAAGAATTAATGCGTCTTATAATTTTACTTCCACAATTTTATGAATTTTTAGATCAAGCATGTTGGTGTAACAGTACTCCCATAGATTTATATTTAAGAGGAACTCAGTTCATATGTTGGCTGGGATACAGCTATCCTGACTGAAGTGTTTGTGCTTTTCTTCATTTTCTCCAGGAAAATGTTGGAATAGTACCATTAGGCCAAGACTGTTTCCTTCCAGATCCTCTCCAATTCATCAGTCATCCTGCAGTCTGACAGTTTATAATCTAGATACTGAACCACAGAAGAATCCAGAAACATGTAAGGACTCGGTATTTTATAGTGATTTGGATGCTGATCTTTTTACTTTACCATGTTTTCCTATTGACTTTATGTTTAGATTGTCATTATAGAGCAAACATTTTAGATTCTTGAAAGGAATTATTGCTCTTTTGCAATTACAGGAACTACGCTACTCATTACGATCCCTTGAGAGATTTGCTCCATGGGTACGACATGTTTACCTTGTGACAAATGGCCAGATACCATATTGGCTAGATATGGAAAATCCCCGGCTAACTGTTGTAACTCATGATCAAATCTTCCCTGATCCGTCACATCTTCCAACATTCAGCAGTCCTGCCATAGAAAGTCATATACACAGGTTAGTTGGATTAGTCTGTAAAACAAATTATGGAAGTTGGAGAATGCATAAGTTTAGCCAAACTTTTTCACTTTGTAAGGAAGTGTAGGTTCAAGATATCATGTGTATATGTCAATCAGTGTCTTCCCCCGCCCCAAATAATGTCTTAGTCAACTTACATATTTCCAAAAACTTGGTATGAACATTGTGCAACCAGATGTTGCCTCAGCTTTATAGTTTCTGTATCCTACTATTAGTAATACCAGCACAGTGGTGCAAACGTCTGAGGTTCAAGCAATATCTGATCTAGGGTCGTGAAATATTGTGTGGAATGGATGTTATGAAAATATGGAGTGTTGTTCATGATAATGTTTGTACAATGTGAAACAACATGATGACTTTGCTAGAACTGAATTAATCTTTGTGTTTGAAGGCAAGAAATAGTGTACCATTGGAAACAAGCATTTGAAAGTTTGTATGAAGAAAGAGTGTACAAATACCTTCTGAGGACGTATAAAACTTTTTTTTATAGATGAACAGTTATGAAGGTGGTGATGGCATAAAACATGTTATTTTTGACAAATGTAGTAGAATCAGCAACTGTGATTGTGGAAATTGTTCACAGAAGTGGATATCTGCAACGAAACTTTGAATTTGCATGCTCAGTGTTATGCTTTTTCCAATTTTACTCACTTTGCATTTTGTCACTACCAAATACCCATAAGAACAATGTTAAATTTTAATTGATTTTACATTTTCTCACTCTGGGCTTTTTAAGTCCTGACAATATAGACCTACCCAAATATACACCTAAACGGTTCTCTTTTAGAAAATGGAAAGAAATACCAATGCCATACCACTCATGTTGAAGATCTATCATGATAAAACATGCATACTTCCCTCACAAAAGTTTTTGAACATCACATGAGAGAGATATGTGGACTGAGTGCTCAAGGAATAAAAAGAACAAATAACTATGTCTGACTGGTTACAGATGTAACATGGCATGTAAGTTAATATATTTGCATTTGCAGGCATTATGCCAGTAGGCTATTTGCAATGAATAGCCTTAAGGAGTGAGCATTTTGGCTTGTGGATCTATTGCTAGGCAATGACCGTGGAATAAGCAACTATACACCAGCCTTTGCTAGATAACGGCTCCAACAACAGACACAAATGCAACATTTCCACAGAAACAATTGCACTGCAGCAGAGGAGCGATGTTTTCTATGCATTTCATGCCTAGATGTTATAAGCAGGACAAGTGAGGAGTCAGTTAGTTAAAAGAGAAAGTTAATGAGTTGTTTGGTGAGTGAGTCAGTCAGAGAACTGATGAGGTTCAGTCATTGTGAGATGTTTCTGTGAGAAGATGGTAGGTGAGGCTGGGTATAGTTCGGGAACCCAGAGGAAAGGTAATGTCTGCCATTGGAGGCCGCTACCAAGCAACACCTAGTGAAGACATGACTGTAGACACTAGTGTGTGTATGTGTAATAATGAATTGTAAAGTGTAGTCGCGTGCTGTATCAAAGAGTCCAGCAAATCTACTCCTCAATCCAAAATCTATGTGTCGTCACATCCATAAAATTATGACAGCTGGTGTCAGAAGTGGGGTGATTGGATTGAGCAGATCAGAAGGATCAGATGAATTTTGCAGTGTCTGATTTGAACCCAAGTGATGGATAATCATGGTGGACATGAAACACATGGTAACCTTCTTAAGAAGGATAGTGGTGAAGACAGATACCTGTCTAGAGAAGATGGACGCCTATCAGGAAAGGATGGAAGCCAATAAGAATACCTGGCTAGAAGGGAATAAGGCCTGCCTACAAAAGACAGGCCAACCAGGAGAGGAAAGAGCTAACCCCAGTGGAGATGGCAAACATAGCGGCACACCCTGATGTCCTGAGTGAAGAGGCCAAAGTGGAAGCTGTTGAAGCACTAGAGGACTGATATGGGGACAGGAAACTATCCATAGATTGCTGCCAGCAGCTGAGAAATAGACCCAGGGCGATGGTAGGTCCAAGAAGAAGTTGGCTCCCCTCTGCAGATGGATGATGTGCCATTCCATTCCTGAACAGTTTGAAGGACGCTGTCATAAAGGACTAATGGTCAAGAAAAAGCAGACCAAGGACTATGTTGTACAAGGAGCCCCTAAAGGATGAACATTTGAGAGGAGACAATGGACACAGATGAGATTCAACAATGACATAAGGGACTGAGACCTGAAACAGGAGCTACTTCTGGAAATCAAGAAGATATTATATGAGACCCTCAGGCAAATTCACAAGTTGGAGATCATGAAGTGAGCAGTCAGAGTTTCCATTTGGTTGCGGAAAGTGACTGGACATTGTGGAGGGGTCGACCCTCTCCAAAATAAAAGAAGAGATGTCAAAAACACTTCCCTCTGAAAAGAAGATGGTGGTACACCTGGACCTTATCAGGGAACTGCTTGGGATGAGTGGCCTTAAGGAGGGAGTAGCACGATCATTTGGAGAGTAATCACCGTGAAAAATGAACAGTGGGGAAGGATGGCATGGCCAGTCACAGAGGTCACAGGCACAGCTCTCGGAAAAGAACAAATGATGGTATGACTCTATGCTGTTCGGTACAAATAGCCTTAAGGAGGAGCAGTGTGGCATGTAGACCTTTTGCTAGGTAACAGCTCATAAACAACAACAGAGGAACGGTATTTTCTGTGTGGTCTATGCCGAGATGTTATAAGCAGTACAGTCAGTTGAGTTGAGTTGAGTTGGTTGGTGAAGGACTGGGTCGGTCAAAGAACTGCTAAGGTTGAGCCATTGTGAGCTGTTGCTGTGAAAAGCTGATAGCTGACACCAGGGATAGTTTGGGAACCCAGAAGAAGGGATATGTCCACTATTGGAGCCCACTGTCGAGCAACAGCGGCTAGTGAAGATGTGACTGTGGACACTAGTGTGTGTGAATTGGGAAGTGTAGTCACGCTCTGTGTCAAGGAGTCCTATAAGTCTGATCATCATTCCAAAACCCGTCTCTAGTCACACTCCATAAAATTATGACATTGTGTTCAAACATGTATATTTTAAAAGGCTATTAACAGTTGTGGTATAAAGCAATCCACATTTTTCCTTAAGTTGCATCATTTTCACTTCCTTGATTTTATTCCATCCTAGATTTTACAATTATTGTAGGTAGTCCCTTCAGAAGTGTAAAATTGAGGTTACACTGTAAATTGTACCATGAATCATAAAAGATGTGGAAGGGAACAGTTATGGCCTAATTGTAAGGTGCTATCCTGGAAATTGCATGGAGGAACTGAGGGAAACCATGAAGAACCTCATTAAGGATAACTGATATCCTGACTGAGATCCAAATACAAATAAAAAGCATTACCACTTGAGCTAACTTGCTCAGTACTGTGCCATGTAAATTTAACCATATGAAGCGAAATACGAATCACTGATTCACTTCATGTTGCATTACAGTTTTAACTTTAATAATGTTTTATTCTAGGATTCCAGGTCTTTCTCGCAAATTTCTGTATCTGAATGATGATGTCATGTTTGGGAAAGAAGTTTGGCCAGATGATTTTATTACAAACACTAATGGTCAGAAGGTATGTAAGGGAAACCCCTGTGAAATAGAAATTCACATATTATGAATGTGTTACTAGGTCCTTTTTCTGTACAATGTACAAGTATAATAAGTCTGTGTTGTAACAGCCACTGGGGTCCATATCATGAGACTGCATTTTAATGTGATTCTTTTGAAAGCACCAATTCAGTATTCAGGTATTGGAGTCTGTAACAAATGTTATATATTACAATTTTATCACTGGAATACCTCATTATGTCCATTGCAGGTTACATTTTGGGGTGCTGGAGTTTGACTTCCTGGTCCTACATTCCAGCATCCCACTCAGTACACTATATTATTAATTATGTATTCCTGTAATTGTATTTTCCCTCTTTCTTTAAATAAAAAAGATTATATATATTTTTGAAGAGTTTAGATACGGTACCTTTTAGTATAAATAATTTATGTGGTGTAGTTTTACATTTCCTTTTTAAACATCTGCAGAAGCATGCAGTCACAAGAGAACATTTTTTGTATCACTCCACAGTTTTCACATATATCCTGTGTAGCGTTTCATGCTGTTGTCCTCAAAACCAAATGGACATATTCTTTCACTTGAAAAAGGTTGTAGGGAGCAGGGTACTGGTACACTCCTTCCTTGAATATTCCTCAAAATATGCATTGGTAGGTGTGAGAGAAAATGCAATCAGTTCATCTTGAAATGAGGTGCTTCAGAAGTTGCTGGAAATCTATAGGCTTAATGTTTATGATACATGATGCATGTCCATGGTTTATGCTAACCGTCTTACAGTGTATACACTTTTTCACCTTATTCTTCACTTCCACACTACATGTTTCAGCACTAATGTGCCATCCTCAGGTGTCTTTATGCACGTTAAACTATTGTACTGCATGCCATGATGTCTTCATTCTAAAATGACTAAAATCTGTATTCGTCATATATGTCAATGAATTCTAAATAATAAAACTTTTCAGGATTCATCCTACATCGCACTCAAACACGTGAATTACGTGAATCCTCTTTTATGTGAACATTCTTCGTACATACATTTGTGTATCGTGTTCTGTGTTGTGTTTTGCTCCTGTTACTGCATGCGTTTTTAATATTACAGGGATTCCCAAGTCTGTTCAACTAATAGTATTTTATATTATTGTGAGTGTTACTTTTTGTTTCTGTTGTTATTTTTATTAGCCCTCAAATAAAGGCCCATACACAGCTTCACATGTTGTTGATTTTGACACCATCCTCATTTTTTCTTTTAGAATTTTACTGCCTGTATGTTTTGTCACTTCCTTTTGCAAACTGACAAGTATACAGTTTTAGTTAATTTTAAACCATGTTAAATAATAGAAATTGTAATTTGAATTTTTTTCAGGTGCACATAACCTTTGAAGCATATGTACATTATGACCCTATCCCCCAAAACACACGTACACCACCACTCTCAAAGAAACATTTACCCCATTCTTTTTTCTGCTTAGAATTCTGCATACTTTTCAGGTGTACCTCTCATGGCCAGTTCCAGATTGTTCAGATAGTTGTCCTTGGTCCTGGGTGGCTGATGGTTCTTGTGATGTGTCTTGCAACATATCAGAATGCTCCTTTGATGGTGGAGACTGTGATCTGAGTGCTGAAGATGATATTGGTCTCTATGATGAGAACCGACATCTTGCAAACTATGATGACAATGTTAATTTGTACAATGAAAATCATCATGAATCCATTAATGATAATTTGTTCCACAATATAAACTTTGGGGGAGACGTAGTTTTGGAAGATCTCCAAGATCCTGGAAAGAAGATGAATAGTCTTTTAGATGTATTAATTAAAACAAATGCTAAAAAAGACAGTTTTAAAGGAAACCTCCCATTCCTAAGAGAATTTGATGAAATTAAGTATAAGAATTCAAATGGCAGCAGAAATATTAGTGATACAGATAATACACCACCATTCATATACAAACACAACATCACAAGTAAATTTCTTCTTTATAGAGAGATTAAACTTGATTCAAAAAAGACAGCAAATCAGCACAGGAAAAATAATAATCCTCAACAATATGAAGAAATCTATGGAGGAGAAGGAAATAACACACTGTGTATGCAGAGAATACCTCAGGTTCAAGAAGGAAAGAAAGAAAATACAAGCTCTGACAACACATTCATTGTACGTGGGTCAGCTCTTGTACACCAGCAGAAACATAGTTGGTATGTAGGTGATAACTTGCTTATTAACACAAGAACTGGAAATAATGACAATCGTACAAACACTGAACATAGTACTCAGTCATATGTTGATAAACTTTCTGGTAACAGCAGCGCCAGTGTACATCATTATCATGTAGATAATGCAGATGTGCCTGGAGAATTGTACCTAAGACATACAAATCAGAATGCAAGTTATGTAAAAGAAACTGAATTAAAAAGGAATTATAGTGATAGGTTTGTAGCATGGGAAAAATGGCAGAATGTACAGAGTTCTGCATTCGGTAAGAAGAATGTGAACCATAGTCTTTTGTATAGCAATGAGACATTTCATGAAAAACCTAATGAGGGTCAGCACATTCATAGTGCAAAAAAATCAAACCAGACTTATGGAACAGGGAAATCTTTCAGCTCACAGACAGTTAAACGTGAACCTGTCAGAGATGTTTCTGCTTACAATGCCAGACTTCGTAAGTTGTACCTGAAACTGAATGGTAAATCTGATGAACTGCAGCCATTATATGCAAAACACAATCCTCCTTCAGCAGATGTAAATCGTATGCATGCAGAACTTCAGCATATTGATTATGATGTGGATTGGAAAAATGGAGATAAAGTTTCTAACATTCCTAAAAAGAAACGGAAGGTAGTAAAAATGTTTGATGCTCAGCAGTATCACATCTCACCTCCAGGAAAGAAACCTCATGACACATTTGCTGAGTCCCTTTTGTATGTGAACAGGTTGTACAATCAGGAGTTTGGCTTTGAACCTCGTAAGGTTCCAGCCCACATGCCACATCTTATTGACATCGATATTATGGAAAGTCTTCAAGCAAGGTACTGTACTTGTTATTATGTAAGCCACTTACAAATTATGGTAATTATAAGAATAGCGTGATTATTAAGTTGGAAGAGACAATGAACAGTAGCTGGGGGAATTCAAATAATTTTCAGGCATATTATTAGTATGTGGCTATATAAAATGTTTAGCCAGTTGGATTAAATATGTGGGTGTGTGTAGTTTGAAGTAGCTGATAAAAATGGAAGAGGGTTGTCTTTGAAGATCTGTGTGATATATTTTATGCCCAGTCTAGTTAATGTTCTGTAGGACATTGAGTCTGTGTGGGTTGTTAAAATAATATACCTTTATTTTAACTTTCACCTGTTAAAGAATTAGAAGAGGATTTGGTGTAATGTACTACTGTCAGTTATAATGCCTGCTATTAATGTAGTGTGATGATCAGATAGCTTAACAAGAGATATTATCCGTTGCTAGACAGTGGGACAGTAAACATGCTATGATGCCATTAAACAAGAAATCATTGCTACCCAACAAATAAACATGCAACAACAGAAGAAATGTTTGAGTTGGTGTTTTCCATGCAGTCTGACCCAAGACTCTATAATGAGGACCAGTGAACTGAGAGTCAACAGTTGAATTAGTTGTGATATAGTCACCAGCCATTGAGGACGTAAGCCAAGAACTTTTAAGTGTTTAGTAAATCCAATTACAAATCCAAACCCTGTGTCTAGCCATGAATACATGGCAGTATATTTTCAGCTCAAATATATTGAATTGAGTCACTGCTATAAAATTGTGTGTAAAGAAGAAGTTACAAGACATCAGCATCAAAGGCTATTTGTGCTTTCAGATTGTATGCCAGTTACTTAATGCAGATTAAAATTATATAAAATTGAATTCATGTCGGACTGTAAAGGAGACTGACAAATGAGAGAAAAATTGCAGTTATACAGGAATATGTACAGTCATTGGTTCCTGTATAAATGCCTGATGATAGTCTTGTATGACCAAAACATGTAGCAGCAATAAAGATTGAATATTAAAACTGAGTATATTTGTTGTGTTGAGGGTTGACATAATTCCTATATATATGTATAAGTAAAGCTATCCCTGTAACAGGCCGTGAAGGCCCTTAGGCTTGCGAGACATTGAGGGTCCCACCTTATCTAGACAGTCGGCTCAAAGATGGCAGTGAGGTTGTCAGCCTTATGTGCCAGCCACGCTTCACTCCCCAGGAAAATTATTTAATTAATTCCTGGTACTCATTTCTGTTGGAGGCTGAGTCAACCCCAGGGCCATAGTGCAACTGGAAGGATTAGGTCAATTGAAAAAATCCAGTGACCTCATTGGGACTTGAACCCACGACCTTCCTGCTTGTAGCATAGCCCCTCAACCAACTGTGCTTCCACATGCATATATATATATATGGAACACACAGCAGGATGTACCCAATGAAGATAGGTGGAAAACTTAGCCTAATACCCTTTTAATTTTCCATTAAAAATATAATTTGAATACAGCAAGCACCATGAAAGTTTCTCTTCGTTGAAGTGTTTCCTATTGAAAAGTACTCTGAGATTACAAACTGTGAACATAACTCTAGTTAACAATCCCTCTTATGGTCACTGTGCCAGATAGTTAACATTTTTAGCTGGTTACGTGTTCTACTATCACTCATTTACTCAACTGGGTAGCGTGAACAGTTTTGTTACAAATAAATAATAATGTATCTTCAGTGTTCCAATATCATTGAATCCTTTGCTGTTCTGAAGTTGAAACAGATTTGCTCATTTAACTCAATTTCTCTTCCAGATTCAGTAAACAGTGGCACCTCACTTCATCCCACAAGGTGCGCCATCCACATGATATGCAGTTTGCATTCTCGTACTTTTATTTTCTGATGAGCAGCAAGGTGACTCTTCCACTGTCAGACATTTTTGATATTTTTGATACTGATGATTCTGGGTAAGCTTCTTGGATTTTTTGAACAGACTGAGCAGTAACTATCTAAATTTATGTTTTGGAGGTACCCCTCCTAGATCCCAATTGAATCACTGGCTGTGCCAGTTGACTTTTTTTTGGGGGGGGGGTAATTGAAAGAACTGACTTCTGACTACACAGAATCAGATGATTACAGTGTTAGTCTTTGTGTGGTCTGTGTAGGAAAATAGTTCGCATGTGGTACAATGATGAATTGGATATGTAGAAGGTGCAGCATATCTGTTCAAAATATGTTCCTTGTAAACTTACTTCCTGCCATCCTGATGTTTGCTCACTGAGGGCAAGCTGGCAAATCTTTCCACAGCTGACAAGTAATATCAAAGTTGAATCATTAGTTTTTAAGGTAATATTGTTTGCAGACGACAGTTTTATTGCAAGATAATTTAGATTATTTTTTCCTCTTGCTCCCAGTTTGGAGCATAGGGCTGATTTCCCAGTTTCATTGATCATTTTTACAGATTGTAGGACTCCTTGGATGGGTGATCAGTTCATTGCAAGGACACTACCTAAACACAGGACAACACAAACAGAATAAATGCATACACACANTGTAGGACTCCTTGGATCGGTGATCAGTTCATTGCAAGGACAACACAAACAGAATAAATGCATACACACACCAAACATCCATGCCTTGTGTGGGATTCGAACCCACGATCCTGGCTTCCGAGCGAGTGAAGTCAGTACATGCTTTAGGCCACTCTGCTACCATGATCAGCAAATCATAGAATAGGTTCTTATAATTTGGAAATACATCTAGGTAAATTCAAAATAATATTCTTTATCCCCTCAGTTACACCTGACATACACAGCACCCCAATTCATTCAATATTTCAGCTTTTGCATGTGAAAGGACCTAAGCAAGTGAAATTCATCAGCTTATTCAACAGCTCATGTCTGTCTATAGAGAAAATGTGACACCAAAAAAATGCTTTTGCTTTAACATAATGAATGAAAAATTTGGCATGTGAACATTTGTGACAAAGCCAAGGACTGGCAGACTGTCAGTGAGTAAAACAGATGACATCATTCACATTGAGAAATGTATGTTTTGTGAAGCAGGCATACACGTATAAAAGTTTAAACAGTTGCATAGGAGGTTTGTTTTATCCAAGTTGGGTGCACAGGATTGTCCAAGCAAAGAGTTTGGATTTCAAAAAGCATGTGCTTGTTGGTTGCCAGAACAATTAAGAGAGTTGCACAAGACACACATGGGAGTGTGGCTGCAGTTGGTGATGTGCTACTGTAATGAAGGTGGTCAGTTTCTGAGCAGAATTGGATTGGAGGTGAGATGTGAATGCATCATGACACACTGGTAATGAGAAGTGCTAGGATGACTGCAAGCATTCTGGATATCTTATACTCAAAAAGAAAAATTCAAGACCACATTGACTGCACAGAAAGTTATGGCAGTTCTCTTAGTAAGACATTTTTTTTCAGGAATCTGATGGCAAGTGTGTCTGTAGTCAATTCTGAATACTGGTGTCATCAATGGAGAAATTGAACTTAGCAATCCTACATAAATGTCCATGACTCATGACATAGGATGTGAGTGGTGTTGCATAACTGTTTTCCTCATGCTGATGCACATGTCTGTGAATGGTTGCAGTGCAGTCAGTGGGAGATGCTGGAGCACCCACCATATAGTCCAGACCTGGCCACTCTGACTTCCAATTGTTTGGGCCTTTAAAGGGTTCCTTTCTGCAAAGCACATTGACACAGATGTGGATGTTCTTCATGAAGTGCATCATTGACTATCAGGGTTAATCCAAGAATTTTGCTGCAAACATGTGGATAATCTCATTACACAAGGAGACAAATGTCTTAATGGGCAAGGTGACTGTGCTGAAAAATAATACAAATACGAGTATATGCCTCAGTTCATGTTTGATATCATAATGGTATGATTGAACTCTTCTTACAGAAAACTGTGTTTCCTTTTTAGAGTGCCCTCATAGGTATTCCAAGCAGAAATGTATAGTGTTACTGATGAGTTATTTTATGCATACTCCATCTCGTGTGGGGCGGAGGGTGTATCATTGTCGGATAGTGATGTAGACTATTATGATATTATCAGAAAGTTACTAGATTTTGTTTTAAAATATGTCTGATATTTATATAAGAGTGGTAAATTCAGACTTACCTACACAGGAATTTTTATTTTGTAAGATTAAATACACAACATGTAATGTACCGTGGTTTGTAGAGTAGATGAACTTTTCCAGTGAAACATTCCAAGTCAAGGTAAAGTTTTTCTGTGCTTAATTAAGCACCATGTCATGAAGTATTGGGAGTGTGGGCGAGCAGAGGTGTAGTATTTTTAACTTTGGCAGTAGTTGTAGGTGACTGGTCAGCTTCATTTCATTTCATTTTTATTATCATTCAACAATCCATACATACAGGTATTACAACCATTTGGATAGGGAAATTGTCAGATTCTTGTGCGTATCTTTACAGTATACACTGTACCACCCTAATATAGGGGGTTTGTCATCTGAATAATATTATCTAGATATAATTACCATTAATTTCATTGTCACACCAGTTTAACTGTGAGAAAGAGTCCCTGGTATCCATTGGATAGGAGGCTGGGTTGGTCACAGAGCCAGTTCCAGAGACTGTTGATAGGAATGAACCTCTGCTTCTCCCAGAATTGAGCCTTGATTTCTTATCATCCAGCCCATAGCCTAGTCATTATACTGACTGATCTAGCCAAGCTTGGACTGTGGAAGGATGACTATAGTAATAGGAATAATTAAATGAAAATTTTGTTGATTTTAGGACATGGTCAGATCGAGAGATCAGGACATTATTAACTCGTTCATATGATTTGCCACTTAACTATGCAAGAGTCGTCAAGTTTGAGAATGACATTGTCAACTGTTCTAAGGAGCTGTCAGAGGAACTGTCAAATGTAAATGTTCCTACTCCCCCATATGAACGCTATCAAGATTCAAACCTGGTAATTTCTAGTTTGGTATAAAGGTTACAGTTTGGTGCATGTTCAGAATTTGGTAACTAAAAGAGCCATCTCATGGCTAATTAAGTTCAGTAATACCTTGATATGGAAAGAGGATGCATTTCATGAAATATGTGTATTTCAAATGACCTTAAACATTACTATTCCTGGTCGCATTCTTAGCCTTAGCAACTTATCACTTCACATTATAAGAACCTAACGACTTCTTTTTTTGTCATTCGTATTATTAACAAAGACACTTCTTGCTGAAAATAATATTTTATGTTGCACTAATAAACTGCAGTGTTGTTGTCATTGTTCAATTAAATTTTTGTAATTGTGTGATAGAAGAGATGCTGAATGAACAAAATGGTAGATAACAGTTTGAAACTATACACAGGGCTTTACTTTGCATATCAAGGCATTACAGTATTTAATACTTTACAGACATATTGGATATTTATGAAGTTATGATAACATTAATCATTTAGAATGAAGTAATTTTGGGTATAAATGTGATACTGCGTGATAGTAAGATGTAAATGTGATGTCAAGATTTAAATGGTTTGTTTTTGGTAGTATTATATATACAATTTTTATATGTTACTAAAAAGTTACAGAAACTGAATATGCTATTGTCCTTTATAAATATGAGTATTTTGTATTCAGTCAATTATCCAGCTGCTCAAGGAGGTTCATAATTTTACAGATCCTTAAGGTTCATTGTGATGTTCCCAAAAGTGTGCCATAGAATCAAGTCCCAAGTAAGCTTAATCTAGTTCACATCTTGAAAACCTATTTCTCTAATATGTATTTTAATATTTTCCTTGTATTTATGCCTAAGTCATTCGTCTCTTCCCTTTGAGGTCTTCCAATTAAATATATAAATTTCTTTTTTCATCCATCCAGGCTAGGTGTCTCACCAATATAGTCCACCTTAATTTATTCATCCTACAATTTTACATAAAAGTACAAATTGCAAAGCTCCTTATTATGTCATTTGCAATGCTTGTATTGAGTCAAGTGTAATGAGCATGTATTGTATATTAGGCATATGGTTAAAAGGTTTTATCTTTCTTAAGCAGTTAGACACCAGCTTCCCACCTTATATGTCCATATTCAGTCACAGAACAGTGTGTGTAGTATTTGTAGTGGATGTGTCATTGGGCAGGTTTCCCTCCAGGAGCACTGGTTTTCCTCTGCCAGTCATCATTTCATCTGTGCTCCATACTGATCCATCACAGTTCCTTAAGCGTGCAGCAAGGCTGAGCAGCCGGCATATGATCACAACTCTGAACATCAGGCCTGGCCCTTTACTGGAACCAGAGTAAGGACATGGAAGTAAATAGTGTGACTTGAAGTTATACCTGTTGAAAGATGTACAAATAATTACTTATACCATGTCATTCCAAAGCCAAGGCTGTTTTTTGTCAGTTACATGATAGAAAAGATATGTCATTAAAAATATATAGGTCCCCTTCAAGACAAATATTGTTTATAACATGTAACAGGAAGCCTTGGACTAACAAGCACCACAGAGAAGAGTTCTCCTTCAGAAAATGATAGTCCCGGTTTCTCAAGATTAATTTTAATATGGATATACTGATCAGATGTGAATTTATCAGATACTGGAGAAAAGTGGGAATACAGTGAGACAGTATGTCGCTTATTTACAGACTTCATGAAACTTTATGACTCAACGTTTTCATTAAATTTGGCATATGAGTAGAGCTGTGTAGATGAATTAAAATGTGTTTAAATGAAATGTGTGCTAAATTCTGATTCAGTTCCTCTTCAGAATGGTCTATGTATGCCACTAGGAAAGTCCAAGTAAATCAGGAAGAATTGAACGGAATGGCACACATCATGCAGCAACTCTTGCTGCTATAAGTGCATGATTTATTTTGCCTATTTTCATTCTGTAATGAAGTACGGAATAATTTTTTGGGGTAACTCATCTTACAGCCAGAAGATATTCATCTTACAAAAGAAAATTGTTAGAATAATGGCTGGTGTTAAACCAAGAGAATCATGTAAAAATATCTTCAAGAGGCTAGAGATCTTAACTCTCCCATGTGAATACATATTCTCCTTAATGATCTTCATTGTAAAAAACCAAGAATTTTTTCCAACCAATTCTACAATACACAATGTCAACACAAGGAATAAAAATCAGCTTCACAGACCAGTTGCCAGCCTCTCTTGTTTCCAGAAGAGTGCATATTATACTGGCATTAAAATCTTCAACAATCTACCACCAAATATCACAACTCTTATAGATAAACAGGGACAATTTAAAGTAGCACTAAAGAGATACTTAATTACACACTCCTTTTACTCTGTTGAGGAATTTATGCTTCCAAACAACATAAAGTGTATGTAATGTTTTCTCTTGTTTGGAACACAGGAAAAAAAAAAAATCTAGTATATGTTAATGTATGGATTTATGATGGATATTTTACTACTTTTGTGAAATCCTTACTATTTATGTGAAATTGAATTGTGCATGTATATATGTATTGTACGATTTTTGACAAATTCCACATCCGGTAGGTCATCTGACTAACTCATGGATCTATGGAATGCTATGTATGTATGTATGTATGTATGTAGACAAGATGTTCAGAGAATTCATAATTAACAGCACTGTATGCAGGTCTGTCAAGTCTGGTGGCTGAGCTCTCTGATGCATTTTCCCTTTAGGAAAAATTGGATATTCCTTATGCTTAGAGAGACCAGGTATCATATCAGGTATAATTTGCTGCAGTTGCAACCTGTAACGTTGGATAAATTGTTGACAAGTTTTCAAACTGTATTGGACTTAAAAACATAGGGTACAAGTGTTGGAAAAAAAAAGTGCATAAGTAAGATGACATAAGAAGGCTGAAGTACAGAAAGTAGAAGATTTTTTATATTACATAATGAGGAACTTTGCAATATATACAAATGAAAGTTTCTGGCTCTAACACTGAGGACAGGGATCTTTTGAAGGGCCCCTTGTGAGACCAGGGTTGCAGGACAGTGGACTCAGTAGTGGTCTGAATGCTTAATGAAACTAGAAGTTATCCCCCCTCCCCCAATGTCAGTGTTCAGTATTGTCACATTTTAGGGGTGTGACTATGGATGGGTTATGGATTGGTGAATGGATTTGTTAACACCTTGTATTCACGATTCAGAACTACACTTTACAGTTCATGACACATAGACAAGTGTCCTCCACACAGGTGTGGAATGTTAACCAACAGACAATAGCATGACCATGGAAGCTGAAGAACCTCCATTACTAGGAAACATCTAGTGAGAGCATTTGCAGAGGAATAGCCATTGTTGATAGCTGTTACCATGCAATGACTAGTGAAAACAGACTGAGAAGGCCTAGTGTGGAGTGAATTTTGTTATTTGTTGTTGCAAGTCGTGTAGACAAGTCAATAAATCCAATCCATACCCTACCTATAGTGACACATCCTCAAAATCATGACAGTATGTACAAGTTGCCTAGTATTATAGTGAAATCTAGGCATCTACAGTAGGACTAGTATATGGCTCATATGGGGGAGGCAGTACATAGCGTATTTTGAAAATTTGTCGCTTGGAAGATCAAGGGGTAGGAGAAAATGGTGAGAATGGAACGTGGATGGAATTAATTCAAATGACTTTGGTAACAACAAGGTACCAAAGAGTTTGTCCATTAGTTAATAATGGAAGTTAATAAGACTTATTTATATATTTCTACTTTTGCATTTCATTCATGTTGTTTTGTTCAGCCAGTTGTTAGCAAAACTCTTGTCTCCAACTGCAAACCTGTGGTGGATATGCTGGTGAAAAAATTTGGTGACAGAAAGATGTACAGGTATCAAGTTGAACGGGACAAACACCAAGATGTAAGCTTCAAGATGCTCAGCTCAAATATAACACAATTGGTATCTCATCTAGATGATGTTCGTCGGGATCCAAAGTGAGTGTTACTCCCTACTGAGCTTACATTTTAGTGCTTATGGTTTTCTGCAGTAACTGAGATCCCAGCAGCTTTGTTGATTATATTTTCAATCTTATACAGATATTTTTTCTTCAATGATATTATTTTTTTTCCAGGACACATCACCATAAATCAGATTTGGACCCAGATTTTCCTAATGTTATAAATTGGTAACATTCCTGGCTAAAGACTGCTGACACATTTTCACCAGCAAGGCTAGAAATTATTAGATTTAATAATGTCTGTGTGTGTGTGGGGGGGGAGGGGGCTTCCCCTCTATTCAAAGTGTTCAAAGTGTGGTAATATGTCAGAAAATAGATCACTGTTGTTATGCATTCTTAAGACAAGGGTCTTAACATGTGGAATAATTTATATGATTCTTACCAAGTTGACACACATGAGAAGTTTTATTTGTTTGCAGTCCCCCCATACACTCGCTGTCTCTCTTTCTATATATATATATATATATAAAACTTCCCACAGAGCTCTGTACCTGTGATAAATCACCCATATTTAACAGAGCTCTGTAGGCAGATTGTTCTATAAAACATCTAAGAATCTCAGAATAAAAAGAATTAAATGAATAACAGGAGCTGAATGCAAATTTATCTTAGAGACCTCACTGCCCTCCTTGTACATATCGATTTTTAGATTGTGTTTAAGTATGTTCAGTAGCATGTGTCATATCAGAAGGTATATCCAAAATACAAGACTATGCATCATAGATTGATCCGTTGATAGCATTATGTACATGTTGTAAATTGGACAGTCATAAACCCAGACACTGCCTAAATTACTTCCTACACAGTGGGATCTTTATGAAGAATGAGGCTTCTGTTCATTTAAACATTTGACTGTTAAGCCACACCATAGAAATGTCTGCAAGAAATGCCAAGATTGGTTGAGTGTAAATACAATTGCACAGGAAGACCTACTGTACTTGACCAAAAGTATGGTTCTTAAGAAAACCTGTTCTTTTCTCTAAACATCAGTATGTCACACTAAATCCTAGCTAAACCCTATGGCTGTGACAGTTTTAATCAATCATAATGTTCAGAGGATTGAACATTGTTATAAGGGAGATAAATCTTACCCAAAACAATTCATTTGGAATTTACATAATATTCAGTAATTGTGTCTTCTGTTCACAGAAAATTTATCTGTCTGAATGATAACCTAGACCCAAAGCGAGAGGAAGATAATGCTGTGGCTCGCGCTATTCTTCACGATATGTATGAGTCACTGTTTCCACAGCCTTCATCTTTTGAACTTCCACCAGAATTCCGCAATCGGTTCTTGCATATGACAGAATTGGAGGCATGGCGAACCAACAAGAATACTATCCGAACAGTTGTTTACATTTGTCTGACCATCCTTATCACATTCACATTAGTCAACTTCTTTCATGTGGAGGTAAGGTTTAGAGTAATGATCTCCACTTTGAATTTTGAAAGCTCACAACAGTGCCGGACAGTGATTTTCAAACTGTTCTCTAATTACCGTGTTGGATTTCTTAGAATCGGTACCCTTTCTCTCTTACTTTGTGCCTAACAAAGAATTTTTGATAAATCTACTTGTAATATGTTTTATTACATTTTAAAGTTTATTTTAGATTCCCTAAAATTGAAGATTTATTTGAAATTTTTACCAGGTACTGTTTGTTAAGCTTGTATATTACTAATTTTGTTGACATTAAAGTACTCTGTTGTATTTTAGCGTCCTGTTGCACTGATTCATGTGCATAATGTGCATAATGTGTAGAAGTGGTAGATGGGATTGTGTGCACTTGAAGACTGTTAATGTATGCACATTATGAATATTAAAGTACTCTGTTTTGAATACCTGTTATGTCTGTGATTTTGTGTGCTTGTGTATGTGCATGCATGCATGTTTTGCAGTCATCCTCTCTGTAAGTTCAAATGGCAATCATACTTGAATGTCTTCAGATTTCTTAATATTGCAGACTTTACTGATCTCAGTATTACAACATATTTTGCATGTACTTTCATTTCTTATGGTTGATTAGAAAATATCTTCCCATCCAACTTCAGCATTGTAATGTAACAAATGTTTGATGTAATATTTGTGAAATTGATTTTAGTTTCTCATAATAAGTGTGCTTTATGTTATCGCTCTGTCTTCAGTTGGGGTATACATATTGTCACAATAGTAAACTTGGACCATTGACACCAAAGGATTGAGTTAATACTCTATCATAAACAAACTCAGGTTTTGTAAATGCCATGACAAGATATTTCTTCACAGAGCTGCTATTATTATAGAGATCGAAACAGAGTGGCATGGCCATGTTTATGTCCAATCTCAGTAGACCCTGATCGTTGGGTCCCACAAGTGAAGCTTACCATACGACACACCCACTCTATTCTTAGAGCAGAAGAACCATTGTATAGAAAGGCAGCATTTATGTTTATAGTGACTTGTTTTGCCTGGATAACAGTCCCCAAAGCACGGTAAAGGGATCCTTATTCATGTGTTGCAATTTATTTGTCACCAAAACTTGCTGGCACTTTTCAGAACTAAATATAAGGTGAACATAATTAAATATAAATATAGACCACCTATTTCGATATTCTGCATACAGATAAATAGATGAATTCTGAACAATCAAGTTTTTATATGGAGCTTACATCTTTAAAAATGCAGTAAATACAATTTGTTTTCTGAAACACTACATTTCAGATACTGAAAGGCCTTTAAAGACTCAGGCCAGCTGTTACTACATTGGGGATTTAAATGTCATTTCTCAAAGACTAATATCTCATGTCTATTCTTTTTTTTTTCCAGTGCCGCTGGTTGCAGCGAAAGTTATGTCAAAGGATGAGACAGCAATACCACAGAGAAACACCATTAGTTCCATGTGTTTGATGCTTTGTAAACAGTCTCACAGATATTGTAAACCTGTGTGTTTGGTTTAGATATCCTGTAGTTGAAATTTGTTAAAATCACATGTTCAGGTCATGAAACATGAATAGGTACAAGTATGTCATGTTCTCATTTGAGGACATAAAAGCACTTCTGTGTAAATTGTTGCTTCTAACCCTTTATCTTGCAAGTGTTTATGTTTACTTTCAGCCTTCATTTGACATTGCTGAATATTTCACTAACTGGATACTTCAGTAGATTGTACTATATGTGGGAGCAGGATTCCTCTCATACATTGACTACATTTTTTCATATGGTAAATAATATATAATTATTATTTTCTTCTCAAACAATGAAGCATTATGGTGTGTTTAAATGGAGTTGAGTGAGGGTTAATCCATTCTCTGTTTGTGAAAATGTATACGTATCAAAAGATTGTGCATTGCTGGTTGTCAGCATGTTTCCTGTTTCTCAGTTACATTTCAAGCCAATTGAAGCTCCCTAAATTTGTCACTGTCCTTGCAATTCTAGCTGACACCCTTGGACATAGGCTACAAAAGTAAAGGAACTACCTTCTGAGGTGTAAACTGCCATAAACATTTATCATTATGTGCTCATCATGCTTCTCTGTTCATTTGACCAATATGACCCAAATCCATCCAAACAGATCCCTCACTTCATGCTTCACTTTCACTCCCTTTAATGTGGTCAAAAGTGTAAATGTCCCTCATCCATAAGGTCACAGTATTTTGCAGTTCACCTGTTAAGTATCATCTGACATCATCATTGCTTCCCCTAATAGAGCATAATGCAACACAGATTACTATAATACATATTATTCAGTAATGTTGTGAATTCTGAAGTGAAAATATTGCAATTTTTAGTTGATGTAACTACTTCCATGACAAAGTATATTTGTCCTTAGTCTGAGCAATGATTCCAGTGCCATATAAACATGTAGTACAAGTGTATGTTCTAATGGAGATTATACAAAATAGTGGTTATTTTTAGACTGTATTTCTTTTTGATGTTTGTTATCCCTGAATCTCTTTTAGATAAACTTCATGAAGTTCATTTATTTTAGGCGAGTGATGACTCATTTTGGGTAGTAGTTCTTCGTTATTGATACGCAGACAGTTTACAATGCACATTGGATTGGTTTCTTGAATATGGCAGTTTGGACACTAAGGAAAGGTTAATTTTTTGCTTCTTTGTTTTTCGTTGAAGTGGTACATCCAGCCTGTTCTCTCTGAATTGCTTTTCCTGGTATTATGCCTTCATAGAGGGGATGATTCTGTTTCCAAATGGTGATTGCTGCTTTTCAGACAGTGTATGTACTTCTGCACGTGCCAACTTATATCTATATTTATATACCACATGCACACACATATTTGGAGTGTTCACTTCGCAGATATGCAACTTTATCTATCTCATCTGCTTTTTAATTTCCTCTTATGTCTGCTGGCCAATGGACCTGTTTCATTTGAACTTCATTGACATATCTTCTTATTTTATAACTGACACTGCTGTCTGGGATAATAGTAAGAAGATAAGATGCTGATATTACAGTGACATTGTTGTCTGAATTTAACCAAAGTTCAGAGTTGGAATTAATCAACAGATTTACTCCTAGGAAACACCCTCTCCTCCCTCTCCCCCCCCCCTTTATGGAAGGGTGAAAACATAATCCAACACTGCAGTTGTTTGATTGCTAAGTAATGTGACATCATACTTTCGCTTTGCTAGAAAGGAAACAGTTCACTATCAAAGTATTTACCATTCTTTATTTCCATATTCTTGAATTGGAACTCCAGTTTAAAGTATTATCTGGGGCTAGTCTCAGCTTTCCAGTCTGTAATGACAGCAGGAAAACTCCTTTATAAGTTGGCATATTTAAAGAGTTGTGTCTTCTGGGATACAGCACCATGTAGTCTATTGAAAGTCAATCAACATTTACATGTCACCTCCATTTTCAGGGTCAAAGAATGGGCCAATCAAGAAACCAGTATGAAAGCATGTGGCTAGTAGAGATTGCTTGTTTGTTGGTTGCTTGCTTGGCTTATTGTTTCATTCATTCACTTATTAGTTCACCATAGATCCATTAAAAAATTACATTCTGAGGATGTGGTTACCATCATGGCAGCTTAAATACATAATACAGAAATGCATAAGTCAACAGCACATACGTAGTACACGGTGGCATGCCATGCATGGAAGCAAGGGAAGCATTGCTTCCGTAGTTAATAACGAATAGAAAAGAAGTCATGTGTAAATAATTCAATTTGAATAATAAGGATTTGAATATTGTCATTTAGTGCATGTTCCTGCTCAAGGCCACATGCCTACTCCTCCCTTACCTTGCTTGTGGGACGGACCAAGTGTCCTTCGTTAAACTTCATAATAATTCGTCTCATATGAAGTGGGTAGGGAAGCAACTTTCGGTTTGCTGGCTAATGCTGTGATATGGAAGCTAAGGACTGTGTTCTTTCGACAGTTATGTGAAAATTAACTGTTTATGTGTGATTTCAGTCTTGTTGGGTGTTATAGGTAACATTAAGTTTCATTAAATTATTGTAAGTGCATATTTATATGGCATGAGATTGTATTTGTGATCGTATTTTAATGCATCAGAAAGAAGTAATCTGCGTTTAAGAGAAGCAAGTCTGATATTGCGGTAAGATGGGCAAGGGTGTGATTAGACTACACGCACAGGCCACAGCTAAAATGAATGCTGGCAGACAACGTGACTGCGACTGTGCAATCGAAAGTCTTTTAAAACGGGGGTTTCATAGCAGGGACTTTTCTGAAAAGAAAATAATTATAGAAAGGGGACAACCGACATGAGAGTTGCGAGAACTTATAGCACAAACCAAATTATATGTGAGGAAATTTAATTTGGAACAGTATTCTAAAACAGAATGGCTATCCGGTTGCCGTAATATAGGAAAATTGTTTTGTTGGCCATGCCTACTGTTTCTCAATGAAAAAATGTTTGGAACAAGACTGATTTGGTGATATCAACAACCTTCATAAAGCATTGAAACGACATGAGAACTCTCAGACTCACATTATTTCAACAATGCAACTTGTAATGTTCGGGAAATCTCGAATTGACTGTCAACTTGACAATCAAAAGTGCCTGACGATACTACATAGAGAAATAATGAAAAGCTTGATTGATATCATCTGGCAACTTGGCCCCTGTGGTCATGACGAAAGCATGGATTCTATCGACTGAGGTAATTATGTGGAATCAGTTCACTTTTTGAGGAAATATGATCATAAACTCAATGTTCACCTTGAGAACAGTACAGTATTTACAGGTTTATCAAACAGAATACAAAACGACCTTATTGGCTCAATAAGTGACATAAATTTTGGTGAGTTGATTGCTGTCAGTTTGTTTGTTAGATACCACTGCTTCCCTTATCAAAAATAGTATCGCATGCCACTGGTAGTACATAATATATAATAGATACATTATAAAACATTAAATGATATATTTTAAGCATAAACCTGTATTATACAATATTGATACACTCAAAATGTTTTTACATTTGTAAATAAATTACTCATTCAACAAATAAAAAGAGTGTATATAAAAATCTCTTTAGGGCAAACCCAAAGGATCTTTGAGCCTGAAGATTGGAGATGACATGTTCCTCTGAAATGTCAGTTGACTTTCAATGGACTATATGGTATTACGGCCCAGATGATTTGAACTCTTCATAACCCATTCTGTGAGAGCCTCAAATCCTAAACAGGTGTAAAAATTTTAAAGATAAATAAATTGGTTAACACTAGGTGACTGCATTTCTTCACATTGTCTTTTAACTGTGTTGTCTTTCATTAATATAACAGTAGTGGGTCATTTTATCCAGGGGCTGTACACGTGAGCATAAAACTCTCAATTACGGAACTGACTGGAAATGGGTAGTTGTGTGCACTCAGAAAGAAATCATTTAAAGGAAGAGATTGTATGTCTGCTGTGACTATTAAGCTATAGAGCAGTGTATCTTTAATTGTAGCAGTACTAATACAGCTAACAAAGCAGCTTACCAGCGGCACCATAAAGCCTCATTTTCTGCATTCCCTTTGTACACAGCTATACATGTGTGCTGCTTTTATTTTAAATCGACATAGAATAAATAAGCTTGTTCATTTACACTGTGTGAACACTAAGCATTTACACTGATATATTGGGTTTTTGGACTTTATCCATCGTCCTGGTTTTTAAGATAACAAAAACACGACGTTTCGGAAACTGGATCTGGATAAAGTCCAAAAACCCAATATATCAGTGTGTTATACACCATCGTCAGAATCCTATAGTAACTACTTACTAAGCATTTACGCTACTTTTTTTTTTTTTGTGGTGGTGGTGGCCAGGTAATTTAAGGTTTTATGGGTTACCAGGCACAAAAAGTTTTTGTAGATAAATATTCCGCAAAGTAGTTTCGGAAAATGGGTCGTCGGCCGGTGGATCGTCAATGCCGCGAATAAGTCAACAAAGTTGGCCTTTCATCACGAAGTCTTCAAATTAGTTAACAGATGGCAGAGCATTGTGATATAGTTAGCATTTATTTCAGTAGATGGCACCATGCCTACTTCTCGCAAGTTCCCTCGGTGAATTGGTTCGTGTTTAATAGCGTGACAGCACGGGCCAGGTATACAGTGAGTGGTGGTGTGTGTGTTTGTGATAAAGAAAGGGAGTCTTGCGGTGCGTCAGCTAGTACAAGCATCTCTTCTTTTCGGAAAATACAGTGTAATCTGTACAGTGAATTGTTGACAGGTATGTGTCATGGTATTCTCTGAAAGTAAATGTCTGTTTCTGTTTTAACTTTCAATGTAAGAATAGTTCTAGACTGTTGACAAGACATTATTTAATATTGATTCCTGCATTAAGTGACGTACGTGTATTTTTCTGTCACCACCAGTTGCATAATAAAATATATATCACATATTATTTAGACATGAATCAATATGTATTTGGATCCAGGAACGTAAAAGGGTGCAACTGACAGAAGTGATGCTGTCCGTGCGTCTTTGCAATCGTCAAATAAGTTTTCGTTATAATTGTGTAAGCTTTGCCCTTTGGACAGAAAATGAGCATCACTAGGTGTGTGATTGTTGCATCATGTCGAATTGTTCATGTATTTTCGTCTGATCCTGTACAAGCCATGGTAAATTTGACTGCGGTTGCTGCCAGTGAATGCAGTTATTCCACATTCCAAACGACATTCCAAACAGAGGCCCACGTGAGCACGTGAGAGTCATTCACGTGCTGTCTAATATATTGTGCTGTAGGCCGTGACATTACGAATTTGTTTGACTCATGCGCGTTGTGGATGGTACGGAATGGCTCGAATGCGAAGTTACGTTGACGAAACCAGAGATGGGCCCCATAATGAAGGTTGTGGATTCACAGATTGTGGTAGTACATCAAATATGTAGTCAGAATGCCAAAAGATTTTTGTTTTGATTCACTACGCAACTACTTCTCCTCTGGTGTCTAAAGGCGTAAGGATTAAAACCTGCAAAAGTAGTTTGATGTGGGCGTGAAACTTGATCTCTGATATTAAGGGAAGAACATAGACTGACGGTTTTTGAGGAGAAACTGCTGACCCAAGAGCTATGAAATAATAGAAGGCTGGAGAAAGGTGCATAATATGCTTCACGACTTGTAATTCTCGCAAAATTTATTAGAACGATAAAGTCGAGAAGGATGAGATGGGCAAGGAATGTAGCACGCATGGGATGAAGCGTAGTGCATACAGGGTTTTGGCAGGAAAACCTGAAGGATAAAGGCCATTAGACGTTGATGAGAGGATAGTATTAAAATGAATGTTAGAGAAATATGATTGTGTTGAGCATATGGACTAGATCCACGTGGCTCCAGACGGAGACAACTGGAGAGCTGTTGTGAACACGATAATGTATCTTCCGGTTCCATAAAATTCTGCGAGTTTCTTCAGTGGCTAAGTAACTGTTGGCTTCTCAAGGAAAACTCTGCTCCATGCAATTAGTCCAATTTTACAGAAGGAAACTGGGCCATGAGGGACCTGTACTTGGTAAATTCGTGGAGTGGTCAAATCAAGGAGGAGGTTCAAATATTTTATAGGAAAAATTAAAGAGAAGAGACTCTTTTGGAGGGCCAGACGTAGATGAGGGCATAATATTTAATTGAATCTTGGAGAAATAGAGTGAAGGGTGAACTGGACTGAACTGACGACAGACAGAATCTAGTGGTGGGCGTGTGTGAACAGGCGGACGAATCTTGTGATTAAAAAAAAATGGGGGAATTCGCTTAGTAGATGAGTAATTAGAAAATTTTCAGACGAATTTGTGTCTTGCAGTAGGAAGAAGAACTGCAATTGGCGTTTGTAGCTCGCTGTGTATGGTTGTTGGAGATTAACTGCGGTGGAGCGGAGCAGATTTCTCAACAAATTCGACCCTCGCTCAGTCTACCCTCCTTTCCTACATTCCCCCTACCCAAACCCCACTCTTCCGCCCTTATTCCTTCTTCTATGTTGTGTATTAATAAGCTGTTTTAGTGACAGGTCGGTTTAGCAGGGAAAGGTAAGGTAAAGTTGTCCCTGTGCTTGACTAATTAAGCACTACACCATGAAGACGTGTGGTCAGAGCTTCACACCCCGGCTGCTTCACCCCCGGGGAAATGGCTCCTGGTGCCCAAAGGATAGAGGCTGGGTGGAACCCAGTGGAGATGAGGAAATTGTTGACCCTACCGCAACTCGAACTCCGACCCCTCGATCGTCCAACCCATAGCCAGCCGCCATACCGACTGCACTATCCCACGAGTTGATTTAAGTGGGAGGGCACACCAAGGAAACTGGCAACCGCAGCGCAACCGAAATTTCCGAGAAATATCGCCGATTTCAAGCAGGCAACTGGTTTCCAGCTTAGCAGGCGCACACTGAGGAAACTTATGTTTGATTACTTGCTCACATCGTCTTGAGTGGGTATGTTCGTCCGACATAATGCATGATTGCACTTTTTAATTTCGTGGACTGCAATGGCAGATAATAATACTGATCTTGTCATAATATGGTGGTAGCTGAGACCGGTTCAGACGGCGTGAGAAGTGAGGTCGAAGACCGTAAGGAAAATATTGGGATGTTAATTAATTTGTTTTGATTAAGGTCAATTTATTTTAATCAGGAAATATCACGTTCANATACTGATCCTGTCATAAGACCGGTTGAGACGGTCTGAGAAGAGAGGACGACGACCATAAGGAAAATATTGCGATGTTAATTACTTTGTTTTAATTGGGGTCAATTTAATTTAATCAGGAAATATCCCGTTCACACGCGATACGAAATTTTTTACACCCGACGCTAGGAAAACACGCGGCAACGCAATGATGAGAAGAAGAATGGCATGCTCCGTTGCCTAGAAGTTTAATTTCTCAGTCTTTCCGCGAGTTGCGTTGCTGTTTCCTCAATTTTCGCTGCTCCATTCAGTAACATGTGTTGAACTAAGGCGATAACATTTCTCGGAAATTGCAGTTGTGTTGCGGTTGCCAGTTTCCTTGGCGTGCTCCCGACCTAATTGTTCAAGGGCGTTGTCAGTAATTAAAATAAATAAACTGCCAGACTAATTTATCAAAGCCGTATTTATCGTAAGTAGAAATTCCAGATATGCCTTTTTAATATTTTTGCATGTTCCCCGTTAATTAAACGCTGTAAGGTATTTTTGCTTGAATGCTCGAAGATATGGCGGATTACTCGTTCCACACTAGCTTTAGGCGAGGGACGCCAGCGTAGGGAACAGGACCTCCCCTCCCAGTAGTAGGTTTTATCCCAACCGTCCAAAAGAGTTTTTGTTGTGTTCAACTTCATTTAACTCTTTACATTTTAACGGATTTTATAGTTTGACCAGTCGTTACACTTATAAAATGAAATAAGGGGGAGATATTTAGCCTAATAGAAAACAAAGTTTCCACGTTTCTAGCATAAAAAAGATAAAATTTACTTCGGGATCCACGCGAGGCAGCATCACGGCCCGCAGGTTGGAAACCATTGAAAATTATGTAAAATTACTGTAAGTGCGGTTGAGCAAATGAGTAAATGACATGTCGTGATCTAGTAAACTGAAAATTTCCCGTTATTACGAAAGGTCAGCCATTCGTAAGGAATATGAAATTCCTGAGAATTGAATTCTTGAATTCCTCTTTAATGTTTTTAATATAAGGTATTATTCGGATTTACCAAATAGATGAAAATATGAAGCCAACGGAGACTCCGGTCTTCCATTTGGTGGCGTGGATCCTCTGGTTTTACTTTCTGATATTTCTGATATATGCTCCGTGATATTCTTGCCTTAACCACGATTTGAAGAGTAGTTTGTCCGGCAAATCTCTTTCGTCTCAGTGAGATTGAAGTTTTGACGACGGTGCGTATAAAGATTACTGTCTCCTGAAAAGTGAAGCCATGTAGTTAGGTGGAAAGGTACCAACATTCGATATAACACCTAGGCTACTCAGTATTCAGGGTTCGAGTCTCGTGGACTAGAGATTTCTCTCTTCTCCATAGCGTCCGTACCAACTCTAGGGTTCACCCAGCCTGTCTTCTGTCTTCAGGAGCAAAACGGCAGGAACTTTAAGCTTACCACCAACTTCCAATTAGTGCCGAGGTATATATATTTTCATTGCGTGGTGCTTAATTAAGTATAAGGATAATTTTACCTTTACCTTACCGACATCGTTCAATTTGTTAGAAATATAGCAACATTTCGAAGGCATCTCATGCCACCTCTTATTTTACCCAGAAAGTGAATGCAGAGTGTACCTCCGAAAAGTTGTTACCCTTCCACTAGATTCAATGACGTTGCATTCCGGAATTTTATCTCTCGTCCAGCAAGTTTCGAAAATCGTCTGTACGAGTTCCTTAATGACTTGTTCATGTCACCAGTGGCGCTTTGAATCAAGTGATCTGACACCAGTCCCTGATGAAGTGGACATAGATGGTCCAAGAAACGAGGGGAATTTTTAGCCAATTGACACGGCTGATAACCCGAGAAGATTTTAACATCTTAAACCGACGTGAAAGCTCGGATCGCTCAGATCATATGAAGAACTTGCTGTGGCGACATACGCCGTATTCATAGCGCAGGCTGATTGAACATTGATTTTTACCGTCGGCAACTTCCTGTGAAAGCGCTGCGCCACTTGCCGAGAAAAATGCCGCCGCACGTCCGAACTGCTGGCACACATTGTTTACTTCTTTCGTTAATTATTAATCAAATGTAGTAATTAATATTGTACTCGTAATCATAGAAGATATAGCTGCACAATTGGCAGCTTCTCAAGAAGGACTCAGCTTCATGATTGTGTGATTATAGAAGATGTTCAAAATATCTGCCCTCTGCTGTGAGACCTGCCTGAATTCTTTCAAACAGATTTGGGGAAATTTGTTGCAATTCACGTTGCTGAATTTCACGTAAATTTCTTCACGAATATCGTTTTAGAACCTCCAGGTGATGTGGACTGTTGGCATATACAACAACACTTGAGTTTTCCCCAAAATAAAAATTACAGGGGTTTAGATCTGGAGATCTAGGGGGCCAACAAACCCATGCTAATAACTTTTCCTCCCCATTAATTCTCGAAACAAACCACATAATGCTCGGATAATTTCATTAGCTGTGTGTGTGTGTGTGTGTAGTCGCGCCGTCTTGCATATTGTAGAGTGTGATGTGTGTCACGCTACAAATAAATGTACGCCGTGTCTGATATAGCGAATTTATTCCGCTTGCTCGCACCTTACAATC